ATTTAATATATATAAAGTGAAAGTTATGTTACTGTTGCCAAATAATTTACATTTTGATACCTCAAATTTAATTAAATCACAACTTAGTTACTATAATATAAATTTTATATTTTGATACCCCAAATTTAATTTTAATATAAAATCATTGAGCAATTATGTTTTGGTATCTAATTTTATGAGATTTTCATACCTACAATTTTTTTCAAATTTACATATTTGTCTAATGTTTATATTTCACTTGAGTCCATGAATCCAATCCACCAATCCTCTCGAACCAATTCATGAATCTAATCCACCATAACATAAAATTATAAATTTCGTTTGTACAATACAAGATATTGTATCACTCAACTGTAGGAGAAGATTCAAACATTTTATATTTGCTCATTATGTGAAACATTAAATAAATGATAAAAGAGATACAACTTTAAAATATTGCAAGAGCGAATTTATAAACTCATTGAGTACATTTACGGGGTACTAAACAAACTTCTACTTATTACATATAATAAAATATGCGACATCTACATAAGCGAGTGTCGATAAATTGCTACGGTGAAAAAGGTTGACTGTTGTATTGACGGCTAACTAAAAGAATTGGTCAAAACCTTTCTATAATCTAATTCCTTTTCATTTTCATTTTTTACTCGCCTTCCATAACCCTTTCTTTATTTCTTTCTTTGCCTTCTTCGTCTAACCCTAATTAGTATACTATGTTTATGTATTTATAATCACAAATATGAACGGGTCCATACATGACTCACCAACAGTCTAGAAAACTAATAATTGAACTATGAACCACTAACTTTTTCCAACTCAATGTCGAGCCCAATTAAAAATAAATATATATGGTTATTACTTATTGGAAAGTCGTCATTTTTCACTATGGGGTTTGATATGTGTAGATATCTAGCTAAACATTCCATGTATATTTGTTGAGGCTCGACCTACTATTGCACCGATTTCCTTTTGGCGAGTTGGCACAACACCATCAACAGCTGACTGAAGCGGTAGTGATGAAGAAGAAGACATTTTTTTCGATCCGTTGGCTTCCTACATACACGTAAAATGTCGAGATTAATATGGATGGGTCGTCGATGGGTTAAACCGTAACTCTACACACAGAAAAACTTACAGTAGTATAAGTACGCAACTCAAGTGGCTCTAAATCTCGCCTCGCCGCCACCACAACCGATCAGTACTCTCTGTACTTCTCTCTTATACGTTTCTTTCTTCTACGTGGGATGTTCTTCAGATTAAAAGGCCTTACTAGCTAGGCCATTTATAGCCAAATCTTAAGATTGGAATATTTGTGAGTTAGCATGCATTATTGGCCATCATCTCAACAATAATTGCAATAGAAAGTGTGCCACAAAAGGATTACTGCCGCCTCCTTATCCTTGTTCCAAGTCCAACTTGGTGTGCTGCCATTAGCAACCAGCAACCCAAATAATGTTAGGGTTGAATCTGTATCATCAATTTGGCCAATTCGCAGCCCTTCCTAGCTAAGAGGCCTGCTCTGCACCAATACCTTCCCCAGGCCCAAGATCAGGCACTTCTTTCCCTTTTTCAGATTGGGGGATTGAATCCCAATTATCTGAATCACATTATTTCAAGAAATGGATTGGATGTTTGAATTGTTGAATGTTGACTCTCTTACTCGTCTATGATCGCCCATTGACTGGTTTTCTTTTCCTATAATTATATTTACTACTACAATTACACTAAAGATCGAGCAAAGGGAAATTATGAAACATATGAAGAGTCGAACTTGACACTTTAGAATACGGCTGATAATCAATTGGTAATTCTCGAGTTACCTGCTAATTTCTAGTTAACAGGTAATTAACCGCTAATGATGAAAGATATGGCATATTGGTTCACAATAACGATTAATCGATCTGACTGATCACTAATAAATATTCAATTTTGTTCTAATTTAGATTTGATATATTTGGATTCAATATATGGTTGATGATAGATTTGAATTGAACCATCAATTTTATTCATTTTAATTTTCTATATGATAAAAATGCTCAATTATGGTTATTCTTTTTAAATCTATCTTGAGTTTGTATCCACTTAATAGCAAACAAAAAATGTTAAAATGCGGTGAAGTTCTATGCTAAGTATGGCGAAAAGACATTAAAAAAAAGCAGGGAAAAGTCCCTATGTGGTTGGATAATCGTTCGGTTACCCGAGTTTTTTTTTTTGCAATGGTGATTGCGGTTACTCGAGTTACCTGACCCATGTTTCCTTTTAGCGATTGAGCGGATCGACGATTAAATTTTTTAGTGATTCATTTTCTGACGATATAGTTTTTGTGCAGAATATTGTCACAATAATGTAGAGATTTTTTGGTTAGTAGTTAACTACTAACTGATAAATCAATTTAATTGCTAATTGATCTAACTTTCATACCTATAATAATTAGTAGTTTATCATGATCCCAAGCCTGTTGGTTTACATAGGGTTTTAATATTGCCTGAATCTAAAACTAGTGAAAGATATTTAAAAAAATTGCGCCAATCTAATAATCAAGAGTGAAGTTTATAGCAATCGTTGAAACAACCAACCCATTTTTTGTTGTTGTTGTTTATCATGGCTCCATCTGCTCGGAATGCCACTAAAGAGGTCACCGCTTGGCATGAGATTTGAACAAAGACCTGTTCTTCCATTCTAGTCTACTCTTTTTGTCTGTCAAGTGCTGTTTTTTCCAAGTAATGAAGCAACCTGAGGTTTTCCAAAAAATCAAGGTAGGGAACAAAAAGACTTGTGGTTCATTGTAGTCTACTTTTGTCTACCAATTTTGTCAATTTGTACAGAGAGTACGTAGCTCCATCCCACTCCCCAATAATTTCTCTAGGTGGTGGACCTTCGTCTAACTGCGGGTTAGTTAAGTTAGACTTGTATGTGGGCACCGGGCTGGACCGTCCACGGGCTAACACGACATGGTTAGAGCACGGCACGAGCACGGGCACGAAATATATGGGTCAGCCCGGCACGAGCACGGATCATTTATGGGCCGTGCCAGGCCTAAACTTCAAGGGAACGTGCACGAGCACGAGCACGACACGGTGACGGTATATAAGTGGGCCGTGTTGGGCCTAATGTTTTCGATATTTTATTGAGTACAAGAACGAATATGACACGAAAATAATATTTATTTGATAAAAAATAAATATAGAAAGAACTATAGGTTCAAATATTACAAAATATACAAGTACAAAAGTAATTATTTGTTGTTGTTAGAAGTGTCGTACAGATATACGTAATTGCTACCATAAGTAAAAACGAACGAAGAATTAAACAATGTCAAATCACACCCGCTCTACTTCCAATTTTCTTTTTCCCCTTATTTGTTATTTTTCTCAAACATTTTTTGTTAATACTATCTTTCTCCGCCCAATTTTCTCCTTCTTTTTCCTTCTCTCTTTTATTTTCTTCCTTTTCATTAAACACGAATATATGCACGACACGATTCGAACCGTGCACCGGCCTGGGCCGAACCTAGGAAAGTTAACAAATGAGCTTGCAAGGCACAACACGAAAACTGACGGGCCGTGCCAAGCACGACACGAAATAAATGGGCCTGAAGCGTGTCCATGCCGTGCCTGCCCAAGCACGACCCAACACTCATATACAGACTTAGACTTTGCTAGTTGTCGGTAATAATGGATTTTTTTCTTATTTTGACAATAGACGGCAATTTCATATTTAGGTAGAGGTGATAATTAAAATCCAATTCATTAATGTGATTCAATTCATCTATTAAATTTAACTAAATCAATCTTTTAATTCAAATTCAATTTGATTAGTGGATCCTTGAATTGATTCATAGATACTTGAAAAAAATTACATTTTAAAGTTCACTTGGATCTCTGAGAAATCTAACTAGCTAGATTGTAAGTTTTCATGAAATCCCATGATTCTTGCCTTCCAAAATGTATCTGCGGGTACATGCAGATATATCACTATGTAGGAATTTTCATGCATCCATTACCGTCAGTTTCTTCCTAATGCGGAGATTTTCTGAAGCAATTTCATTTATCTGCCGCAACATTTCTGCATATGGAGGTGAGCCTGAACATTGACAACCAAAACGATATGGTCACGAAAAATCAAGATTTTAAATTGATTGTGATAGTTGTCCTTCATGGCAGTGGCTGCTGTCCTTTGGCGAATATGGCGGTCGCGTAATTGGGTGGTGTTTGAAGGAAAACAATTTGGGATTCCAGCATTACTACGGCAATATTTCCAGCAATACCAGGAGTGGGTAAGCCTCCCTGTGGACCCGGTTCGGGGTGTGCCCTCCACTTCTCCTCCTGTGGGTATGTTCCAAGGTGAACAGTCAGTTACCTGTATGTGGGATGGGGCAACCAAGTCGGGGTCTCATTCGGCGGGTGGGCTTGTGCTCAAGGACTCCAATGGGAATATTTTGCTGGTTCGTGGTGTGCAGTTCCCAGATCTTGACATCCCCTTGGTGGCTGAGGTTTTGGCTCTTCGAGAAGCAGTGACATGGTGCCTGGATTTAGGCTTTCATGAGGTTTGTTTTCAGGGAGATGCGCAGATTATCATTGACAAAATTACGCGCCGGGATGCGAGGGATGTCCAAATAGGGGCGGTGCTGGAGGAGATCATCGACATGTTTTCTAGTCATAGTGCTTTAAGTGTTCGTTTTGTAGGTCGGAGTAACAATAGGGTAGCCCATTTGGTGGCTAGAAAGGCCCTTGATTTGTACCAGGCTACAAGCCGCTCTTTTGATTTCCAGGCCTGACTGGTTTCCAGGATATAATATCTTTTGATTCAATCTATATATGTGATTATCTTTTGAAAAAAAAAAAGTTTTCCTTTTTGCTGCCCATCACAATTTTCGTTGCGCTAAGAATTAGTAAAGCGGCTATAGTGACCAATTCTGGTATCAAAACATTTTGGTCACGATTAGTAAGAAATATTATGCTTTTAGAGACCAATTCGTTTTGTTGCAAAAACTATTTTTGTTTTGTTGTTGTAGTGCTAGTTAGTATATGCTTGTCCCACATAAACAATATATATGACACTCGAACCTACAAGAAGGGCAAAGAGATGCATGAGAGGAAGATTGTTTCCAAGGCTTTTCATGATCCGTTCGAAGTTTATGAATTCATTATTATGCCCAGGAAGAAATTTATCACGATCACAGCAACAATAGATTGTAAGTATAGTGCCAATTCTTTTCATAAGATATTATTTAGGAGTCGGGACCGCAAGCAAAGGTTTGAACTTATGCAAAGCCATACCAAGCTGCTCTTCCATATCTAGCTTCTCTGGCACGATCCCATTCGGCAGCTTCCATTCAAACCAATGAATCAATGAACCCAGCATCATATGGAACACCCTCAATCCCAACGACATTCCAGGACATACCCTTCTTCCGCCACCAAATGGAAGCAACTCGAAATCTTTCCCCCTAACATCGACCTTCGAGTCCAGGAACCTTTCTGGCATGAATGAGTCTGGATCGTCCCATGCAACCGGATCGCGATTAATAGCCCATACGTTGATCAGAATTTGTGCACCTTTCGGCACGAGGAAGCCACATATTTCCACATCTTCACTTGCTTTGCGGGGAACTAACAGGGGAGCTACTGGGCGTAGCCTTAAGGTCTCTTTCACTATTGCTTGTAGATATGGCAATCGAGATATATCTGATTCACAAAGATGATTGCCTTTTCCGATGATTTCATCTAGTTCTTCCCTTGCTTTGGCGAGTTTGTCGGGATGACGCAGGAATTCTGCCATTGCCCATTCTAATGAGCTTGAAGTTGTATCCGTACCAGCTACGAACAGATCCTGACAGGTCAAACCAAGATCAGCTAATATAGAAATCAAATAAGCGAACAACGATTGAAATCATCCATCTAATAAAGCAGCCATTAGGGTTAATCAAACCTACTCACCCACAACAAGTGCTTGATGGAAAGTGGATCCACGGCGGCAGCCCCCTCACGATTGTCGTCGTCTCCAATGGCCAGAAGCGTGTGGAGCATGTCGTTTGGCGAGACATAGAGATCATCGGACTTGATCTTCCTCATCCGTTCGTCGATGACCCATTGAAACAAATTAAGAGCATTCTCCAAATAACCCTTCATCCGCCTCTGTATCCCCTGCAAATCCATCCTCGCTAGCACGGGGAAGTAGTCTCCCAAGTTGGGCTTCCCTGCTTCCTCCATGATCCCGCTCACAACCTCCTGAAACTCTCTGGCGGTCTGCGACCTCTCCACGTCCCCCAGATTCAACGAGAGAATGGTGGACGACAGAGAGTTCAGAGTCGCCCTGAACACCGCCCTCCGGACGTCAACCGCCTCCCCTGGCCTCTGGGAGGCGGCCCGTCGGACATCTTCCAACAGCTCGAGAACCTTCTCCCTGCGGAGCTCCTGGTAGGAGTCGATCTTCTGAGGGGTGAAGAGATAGGAGTTGCACACTTTCCGGAGGTTCCTCCACTTGGAATCCGGGGGGAGAAAGGGCATGGCGAATTTGTGGAGGTCGAGGACTTCCATGGCGAGGACGGTGTGGCGGTGGGAGAGGACTTTGTCGTGCTTCTGGAGGATCTCTCTGGCCACGGCTGGAGAAGAGGCGACGATGGTGGTGATTCTGCCCAGCTTGATGCTCATCAACGGCCCGTGTTTCTTGGCGAGGTCGGCCAGCGATCTGTGAGGCTTGGCGCCTAGATTGTGGATGTTGCCGATGATTGGGAGCCGGGTGGGGCCCGGAGGGAGTTTGGCCGCCGCCGCCGGAGGTTTTGGTGCGAGCAGGAAGCGGAGGATGGTGATGGTGAAGACGAGGCAGAGTAAGGAAATGAGGAGGAGGAGGAGCTCCATTTCCCCCGGCAGGTTTGGTTGCGGGAACAGGTTTTTTTTTTTTTTTTTTTTATGGGAGGGAACAGGTTTTAGTGGGGACTGATTTTGTGTATTTCTTAGTTATCCTACTGCTATATATATATTCCTGCATGTGAACCGATTTCGAAAATAAAAGAAGAGATTGATTTGTTCCTATTCGTTGATGACTGTTTTGTCCAAAAAAATGGGGAAGGGGAATAAATGGACACACGGTGTTTTACATGGGAAAGTGTAAATCTGTAATTGCTTCTCTTATTTTGAAAGAATTGAGGAAAGGGAATTAAAATTTTAAATCCCAGTGCGTTCGACATGGGTAGGGATGGCAATGGGTAGGGTCGGGTGCGGATTTACCCTATATCAACTCCTAACCCGTCGAGTAGAGCTTTCTAAAATACCCGACCAAATAACCATCAGGTATGAAAATTATATAACCATACCCTACCCACCGGGTAACCACGGGTACGAATCCTAAACTATGAACTTATGCACATACATACTGTTGTTCATTAAAAATTCTCAATACTTGTAACTGTTCTAGCTTCAACAATCCACACAAATAAAAACAGCAAACACATAATAATTGTTCTTTCTTCTACAATCCACACAAACATAATAATCGTCTACATCTTCATCATCAATAATGGTAGCTAAACTCAATTTCTCAAGCTAAAATAATTTTCTCAAGGAAAATTGACCCTTTGGTTAGCGGGGCGGGTATAACGGGGCGGGTATTATCGATTACATACCCGTACCCTACCCTTTAGTTTGAAACCGGGTATTACCCGTACCCGCCCCTTAGCCCGTCAAAGCGGGTAATTACCCTCGTTGACCGGTTACGGTCGGGGTAGGGTACCCATGGTTACGGGTTCGATTGACATCCCTACATGGGGGTAGGGTTTTTAATTAAAAATAAAAATGTTTAAATAGTTATCGTAAATTAAAAATTTAAATAGATCAACACATATTAATTTATTTTAGGCACACCATATTAAGATTTCATTGTAGTATTATGAAGCTCTATCACTTACAATCATTGGAATTGTATCGGAGGTCTCAAATTAGAATATTGAATTTGTATTGACAAAATTTAGATTTCTCATAAAAATTTCAGACATTGCATGAATCCTCTTCTGACATCAACAATGGATATATTTATTTATGATAAAAATGGCTAGACGATAAAAAACATCGATTTGTTAATTTGAGCAATATGAAACGATGGATTCACTACAATCATAAAAAGTAAGATCATAAATAAGGATATTAATAAGATTTCGAAATTTATATAACATATTTGATGTTACCACTCACTTCATATAGTTGTATCCAGATTCCATAGCCACTCAACAACTATGTAAGACTAGTAAATGAAAGATACAGTTGGGGGAAACACAGGAGGAGAAGTGATAGACGGAAAAGTAGACGATTCCATTTTTCTCCAAGTAAGTGACAAATTATATAGAAATCAAGAAACCAAAGGCAGAGAACAAAAGACTACTGGCCAAGCTTCTCCAAGTGAAGGTCAAATCTTCTCATCTCAACAACCCCATCCCCCCCATTTCTGTAGGTGGTGGAGCTCCTGGCCAAGATTGTTTGGCCATTAGTGGTCTGTTATTTAGACTTCGCTACCTTTCTCCATTCTCAGTCAACCGTGAAGACTGAAAGAGGTTCTTTAGATTGGAAAATATAAGTGGTTATGATTTATACATGCATCTCTTTCGCTAATTTGGGATATTGGGAGCAATGTAGTCAAAATTGTTACAAGATTTATCTCCAAATTTAATTGTTACATGCCTACCTATAATTCAATTTGAACTATGATGTAGTTAGCTTATAGAGCTAAAAAGAAAATGCAATTAAATCAGTATGGGTCTAGATGCTTTTGAAAATTAAAACTGAAAATGAAAATCCTGTTTAGTAACGATATTAATGATCTGAAAATTTTGGTGGTCTGATTACCACATTTTTAAATTTAATCAATATTTGAAAAATTGTACACTATTGAAGGTCTGACGGGAAAACAGCCTATCGAAACCCAAGCCGGTTGGCAATTTTAGTGATATGAAATGGTTGAAGAACGATTTCAACACAAAATATCATATTCTTGATTTTTTTTTTTTTTTTGTGCACACTCAGTTACGGTTTTACAAAAACGTGTACAAAATTAATACATGTAAAGGAATAGCTAAAATTGAAGCAATCGTAACTAAATTGATGCTGAACAATCAGACTTCCCTAAACCACCAAACTTGAGGTTGGGTTCGTTCACCAATTATCAGAAATCTGAAGCAAAACTAAATTTGAATTGAAATTGTCGTTGCCCTACGTTAAAACACGTACACCAGCAGTTGGCAAATGAACACAAACCCATTCACATATGGTCGCCTTGCTGCGCTAAGGTCGCCTTGTTTGTTGGAGTTCCGTTTGTTGCAGATCGAGCTGTCCTATTGTTGACGACGAAGGCAACCCAAAATGTAGGGATCATGAGGGTCGAAGTATGAGGGCACGTGCTTGACAAAGTATGATTCCATTTTTTCCTACGTACTTTTCAAAGGACGCTACTAGTCATGAGTAGTGACGGTCAAATCTTTTCATCTGTCAAGTGCCAAATTTGTCCAAATTTTTACATAAATGGTAGAGCTAGAGCCCCCACTGCCCAATAATTTGTGTACCTCCTGCTCCTGGTCAAGGTTCTTGGCCATTAATGGGTTAATTAGTTAGTTAGACTTCGCTACCGGTCTCCTTTCTCAATCAACGACGAGGACTCAAAATGAGTTACTATCCAGTCTGTTTAAACTGGTTTATTTATATGGTTATGTCGATTTAGTAAGTAGTAAGTTCTGATTGAGGTACAACTAATATAGATATTGATTTATATTTTCTATAGAATATACGAGAGAGTTAATCATTAACATCAAATGAATTCCACATTTATATAATGTACTAGTTTTTTAGCCCGTGCTCCGCAACGGGTATCTATTATGTTAATACGTTGGAAGTTTTAACGTGTTAACAATCTTTTAATCCAAGTACTCACACTGCAAAAACGTGTGCGCCAATATTATGAATAACTGAAGTAATTACTTCGAACAAAATAACAATATCATAATCTAAATGTTCAAAAGGTAGTGTTTGTGCTTTGAGGGAAAGAGAAAACAAAATCTCTATATACAAATACAATTATAAAATAGAGTTAAAATTGTTCTTAGCATGGCGGTAACTTGTTCTCCATGATTGACAATGAAGTTCCTTTTCCTGACAGCTTGAACATCTGAAAACACAGACTCATGGAGGTACAATACGAATTGCTTGTTGGTGATCTAGAGAGAAAATGAATTATTCAAAATCAATAGTTAGTTAAGAGCATGTGAAGAATAAGGGAAAATATATTTATTGATGAATTAAATTACACAATTTTATCCTTAAACAATACCGTTGTGAAAAAAATTTCTTGCTTTATGATGAATATTTTCAGCTGAATAATAGTGTTATTTCGCACTTTATATAAACTATTTTCACCACCAAATTAACCTTGTATCCTCAATTTATTCTCAAGTTGGTTCCTTCACAAAATTTGTTCGGAGTCTCGACTTAACAGTTGAATTATTCATTTTTCAAATGGATGCATCAACTCTTTCTAATTAGCAAATGTAACAGTTCTCGCAAATCATTAAATCATTAATCAATTCTTGATGGGTGTGTCGGTGTTTATAGTCTTCATTTTCTAATTAAGAATTAAAAGCTATTAAAGACAAATCTGCAATTCTGCAAAACGGCAACAAAGAGAACGGTAGCAAAGAGCAAAGAACCTAAAAACAACATCGAAGGAGCCAAACATGCATACAACAACAATCCTTTGTACAGCATACTCTCATAATTTTGTCAGCTTAACTGTTTCTCTATTCAGCTTGGTAGAATGCTAAATTGTTATACATACTTGTTTTAAAACTCTGGTTCATGATCATCCCTTAAATAGACAAACCAAAGTTGCATAACAAATTACCATTGTGAAATGAGAAACATGTATTCACAAAAGCAACAACCGAGCCCTCTGGTTTGATCACGTCAACACTTTGACATGTTACTGCCTAACACTTATAGATAGCGGCTGGCAGGACAACTGAAAATATAACAAATAAATGAAACTTTTCTATAAATAAGAACCCAAATGTATAAGAAACACATAAACCCCAAGCTTAGCAGAGCAAGTGAAACTTTTCTATATCAAGATGATGGTTAATGTGTTCCGCTAGCCTCTACTTAGGTTAGAACCATAACAGTCGACAAAATCTTGATTAGTGATGGGATAATCATCATTGTCACTCACAAAACCTTGATATATAATTCCAATATATTAATCAACCAGCATATACAACCAATACCAAGAGCCAAATATAGTGAACTGGATCTAATTTACCTGAAATTCAAATCAAAGAACACCATTATCAAATTCTAATTAACTAAGGCCACGCTGCTGCTATTTGCTTCTCTTGCCTTCAGCTTTTGGTGCATATCAAGAAGCCAAATCGGATGCACATACAGTAATTACTAAATGTATTTGACACATGTGGTTAATAGATCAAGAATTCAAGATCCAAACTTTACCTTGGCTGCATACCTCCCATTAATGAACTGCTCTTCACCAAGTCTGATTGTTGGTTCGAATGGAGCAGAGGAAAAACGTGGTCCAATTTGTCATAACTTGCATCCAAAATAACAATTCATCCAAGCAGAGCAAGAATCATGATTCATATAAGGAAAGAGCATAATCCACCCAAACCAAGTTAAGCAATCTAAAACATAAATAGCTGGTAAAGTAATCTCAGTCCATAGCCAACTTTCATATTCATAAGTACAGAGCTTTGTGCGTTCTAATATCAGTTAGTACCAAGACAAACCACTGCTGAAAATAGATTTTTCAAACTTCTAAGGATAGTGTGTGAACTGACCTATGAAGAGAGCTCACCAGGTGGTTATCTTCACTGCCACCATAATGGTAAGCATCGAGCTAGCCCTCTGTCGAGCATTGGCCACAAATAAACGTCCATTGCCGGAGAATGTCTATTCATTATTCCTTAGTCTCTTCCAGGAGGCCTGTCGTAGATATTTCCTTGCTTATAGACCTCTCGAAGTCCACTCAGCTTCTCGACTCATGATTGAATGGAGTCTGGCTTGGAGATTCTCGTCTACAACCCAAGCTTAACCTGAAACCCACTTATGATTCCATCCTATCATACCCAAAAAGACCTCATAGGTCTTCCAAAATCAAGAGAAGTCGAGGGCATGTAGGGGAAAAACATCAAACTAATAAGTACATTAAGAAGAAATAACAGTAGGTGACCACTATCCGGGGGAATTAAAAAAACAAACATGCTCTAACTAATCAATAACAAACCTAAAAAACCTCACACGTGTTTCTGTGAAAAATCACAGTAGTGATGGTGATTCCTCTATTCTTCTCCTCATAAGACTTTTGTCAATCTCATCAAAAGCAATTGACTTTGTTAATCTCATGAGATTGACAACTTCCCTAGCTCTACCAACCTCCTCTCTGTTGTAATATTACATGATCACTTACAGGAAACCTACTGCAACAAAGAATACCATGCTAATTACACATACAGGAACAAAGAAAATAATGCCTCTCTGTTGTATAATTATGCAGATGCACTAATCTCATTATCAACATAACTCTAACTAAGTAAAATGAGAACACTTGGATTAAAAAAACCAGCCCACATCATTCATTATCGAACTCAAAAGGTTTGAGTTTTATCATTTCCCTAGAACTCTAGTCATAAGAAGATATTCAAGAATTCAATCTATAAAGTCGATTTGAATAAGAATTTGAAAACCTAGTTTGCTTGGAAGTCCAAGAGGTAACTCAATGTATAGGAATCTTTTATGAGCAAACAAACGATTGATTATAGGGACAAACCACATAGCTCTATCGCCACCCACCACAATGAATCTCAAATCAAAATCCACATCCTTGATATCCATAAACCATGGTTCTGTTATCCCTGAGTTCATCCAGCCAAAGGGTGAAATCAAACAGGGTTGTCAAAAACAGTGTCAATTTATTTAGATATCTATTAGAAAATAAAGGAATCAAATTGGTTTCGAGCTTAGCTATTTGCGGTATGGAACATACACGGGAGAAGATATTGATTAGTAAAGAAGTTAGAGGATTCAAACAATAGCAAAATTAATTAATATTTCTAACAGTACAAAGCCAAGTTGTGTACTCACCCAATTCCATCAACTCTCAACTGGGGAAATCTTTGCCTGAGTTTCGGAGATGTGGAATTACTTTGCTCCGCTGGTCTTGTCGTCCCGATGTATGGAAGAAGTAGGAGAGCAAGAGGCTTGGCTAGAAGGAGACAGGTTGAGGCGGCGGCGGCGTGGCCGTGAGGGCTTGAGCTCACTCATGCCTGCTTGCTTCAACTTAATCAAGGGAGGAAGGAGACAGATTGAGGAGCTGACAGCGAGGGCGAGGGATTGAGTTCTCTCATGCATACTTCCGTTGAATCGAAGAAGGAAGGAAAAGCAAAAGAGGGAGGGAAAATAGAGGTGGACACGACAGAGGAGGGGTTGCGGCATCCGATGCCGGCGACCACACAATCTGGGTAGCTCCTCTTGAATCGTCAAATCAGACTCGCCGCCGCTGTCGAGCCCTTGGTTTTGGTTTTTGATTATGAGGGCGGAGAACAAATTGGAGAGTAGGAATGGGAAAAGACAGAAGGAGAGAGAGAAAAGAAACCGCAAGGGAGAGGAGGTTTAGCGGCAGTGATCCAACGGCTGGGAATTCTATATCCAATGGCTACCGCTTGGCAAACCCAAAGTGGTTTTACATGGGATTCAATAAAAACGACCACAGTCTATCAATGGCCCACCATGAACAGTAATCTCCGAAAATTTCTTAAGGAACAGTAACTCCGAATTTTTTGGAACTTGAGACTTAATAATTCTAATATTAAGACAATCTACCTGGAAAGAAAAATGGGAAAAGCTTCCAACGTAACCCCGGCAAAGGAAGACCGAAAGTGAAATTGTAATAGAGAAAACTAAGGAAAAGTGCACACAACTTTTATAAGTTAAAACTTAAAAGTTAGGTTTAAGTTTGGTTGATTTTGGGTACTCGGCAAAGGAACAATTCTAGCATACAGCCCAAAATATCATTGTCTTCAAGTTAGGTTGATTTTGGGTATTGGGTTCAATCTGAGAGAGTATTGATTTGCTCCAACTTTTTGAAACTTGTTTTGTAAAAAAAAAAAAAAATTGTGGAAGGGAAGTAAATGGTGACATGACATTTTACAACTATACGGTCCGGTCCGGTTAAATTGGTCCGAATTGATCGTGTACAAGTCCGGTCTTTTCGAGAATATAAGGACCACAAATTGGATTGGATACAGTTTGGTATTGATCTGGTCCGGTTCCAATTCGGTCTTGATTTTAGATTGAGCTTGTTGGGATTTGAGTGTCCCGAGGGGGGATTTGAGTGTCATGAGGGAGGGATTTGAGTAGCCTAAGACCGGAAAGGGCGAGGAGGTTAAATTTTGGGTATTGGGCTCTCTTATTCGCTCTTTATCCGATTTTCGGTCCGGTGTCGTTGCCGCTTCTCATACCCCCGGAAATAAAGGAGAACCCGACCTTCTTCCTGTTGACGTCAAAATCCTTGTGGGTCGACTATTGAGTGGTGGGCGTAGAAGATCAGATCTCTCGCCGCCGCGTAGAAGGCTCCCATGTCTTGCCTCCCGTCGATCTCCGGCGACCCGAGCCAAGTGTGGGGCGGGTTGTGCGGCGCCCACTCAATCGACCTGGGACATTCCTCGTACTCCCCTGTTTTGAAAGGGCAACCCATGAAGAGCTCCGCCATCTTGGCATCGGAGACCATGTGGTTGTAAATCAGGGACAAATTGAGTCGGACATGCTCCTCCGACATAGATCTGGTTGGATCCAGCCTCTGGAAGTTCAGATCTGCCACGGTGGGCGGGTAATGGGTCGGGTCGCGGTGGTTGTCGTTGAACGACCCGATTAGGTAGATCTCTGGCAGGGTCATCCCGTCAGGTGAATCCCAACCCCGAAACGGCAAACGCGAAGGTCTCGTCGCCGATCAGGCTCCCGAGGATCCTCTCGTGGAAGTAGAGGAACATCCGGTGCCAGGGGAAGAAGAGCCAGCTCTTGTGGACCCGAGCCGGGAGATTGGAGTGCTGCTGGTGAAACGACCCGGTGCAGTACTGGCTGTGGGTTTCCACCTGCCGGGAGAAGCTTTTCGGGTCGGAGTGCGGAAGAGATTTCATGCTCTGTTTCCGTCTCTCTGTTGTCGGGGGTATGAGAAGCGGCATCGACGGTGGGGTATTGGCATTGAGGATTAGAAAAAAATTATGATTTTTAATTTATTTTAAATAAAAGTGATTATGAGGTGGAAATGAGATGGCAATTTTAAAAAATTTAATTTTATTAATTTTAAATTGCCACGTCACACATTTAACGGTCAACTTTTAGAGTTGTCCGCCACATAAGCAAAAGTTAACGGAGTCGTACGGAGAGTGACCAGATGTGAACGGTTTCAGTAAACTGAAGTACCACCTATGAATTTACATATTTCAAGTGATTAAATTTGAACATTTTTTTATAATTTCAAGTGATTAAAGAAATGAGGAAAGGGAATTGAAATGCGAAACGCAGTCCGTTCAACATGGAGTAGGGCTTTTTAATAATCAAAAAGACAATTATTTAAATATTTTTAGTTAATTAAAACTTAAAATACCTCATGCATATTTATATAATGTTTGAACATTATATTAATAATTTCATTATAGTATATTAAAGTGTGTCAATTACAGGTATCAAAAATAAATAACATGGATTTGTCAAACTTAATGGAAGACTCACCAACTATGTGAGAGGGGACAGCAGGAGGAGATCAAGTGATGAGGGAAAAGTATGCTTCCGTTTTTTCTACGCAAGTAGCAACAACTTACAAAGAAAGAAACCAAAGTTCTACACCAAATCAAGGTAGAGAACAAAAGACGGACTACTTGTTAAGGCAAAATCTTGTCATCAGTCCAGTGCCAAGTTTGTCAAATTTGTACAGTAAAGGTAGAGCCCCACTCCCAAAATAATTTCTCTAGGTGGTGGAACTCTAATACGGCTATACTATAGTGCTCATACCTGTTGGGCCATAGCTGAGCGGTACTGGGCTTGGAGGCCCACAGAAGGCCCAAGGAGAAAGGCCCGTCGAGAAACCCGAGGCCCGCTGAGAGACCCGAGGAGCAGGCATGGGGAACAGGGAAAGGAGGGCGGCCGCCCTAGGATGGGACAGGCAGTAGGCCGCCTGACACAAGGAGCCGTTGCTCGGTATGGGGCGAGATCTTCCGAAGATACCCACCTCGAACACCGCAGGACTGAGCATTAATTGCCCGCCGTAGGCGGTCTAGGTATGGCAGGATCAGCCTAGGACGCCTGACAATGGCATTTAATGCCCGAAACCCAAACCAGACCACTATAAATACATTCATATCTGCATTGATGGTAAACCAACTACTACTCTCTCTCTCTAAATAAACATAAAGGTTCTCATTCTCTCTCTAACTCAAGCATCGGAGAGTGCCCTGGGCGACCGCCCACGGGCCCTTGTTTTGCAGGAGTTTGGAGTCCCCCCATCATCTGGAACAGACGCTTCGCTCGTTCTCTACAATCCGCCTAGTACATTCTAGGCTCAAACAATTTGGCGCCCACCGTGGGGCGAGAGATAGCACTGAAGAAAAGATGGATGGGAGCTCCAACACCCCTGTCAAAGATATGATCGGAAGAAGCAACCCTCTTGGTCCAGATGTACAGACGAGTGGCATCCGAGGATTGGAAATGCCCACTGTAGAGGAAGAAATGGAGATGGAGGACCGCGTGAAAAGCCAGGGACAACAAATATCAAGCATGCAAGAGAGCTTAGGCCAGATATTGGCCATGCTCAAAGAAAAGGAAAGCGAGACGCCTGGAAGTTCGGGAAAGCGGCTAAGCAAAGGAAAGGGAAAAGAAGGCGGTCCCGACAGCCCTGCTCGGACAGAAGGCGGGGAGTCCGATAAAGAAGAAGACGCCGATGATCCTAGTTTGGGATTCTTGGAGGAGCATCTCAGACCCACCTATGGCCGGACCAGAGGGCCCACCATCCTCCAAAACCCGCTGGCTAGGAGCCTGTTCAAAACTCAAGTCCCCCCGAACTTCTCATCGCTGGGACTGCCCGGGTATGATGGAAGCTCCGACCCAGCTGATCACTTAAGCGCTTTCATGTTAAAGATGCAACTCATCAACGCCACAGACGCAGATTTATGCAAGGCGTTCCCCGTCACATTTAGCGGTCAATGTAGAACGTGGTACACCTCCTTGCCAGAAGGGATCATTGAAGACTTCGAGCAGTTCGCAACCCTATTCTCCTCGAAGTTCGCGTCCCAGCGAAGGAGAAAGCTGACGGTATCGTCACTGATAAACTGCAAACAGGGGGGGGACGAACCGCTTGCGGATTTCTATGACAGGTGGAACACAATAGCTTGTGAAGTGCAGGGTATTTCACCAAGTGTGGCGGCGGGAAACCTGCGTATGTCCACACACAGCCATGAGCTTCGAAGGGCGCTTATCAAGAAGGAGCATACGCTAAGGGAGTGGCCTGATCTCGACCGCTTAGTGAGAAAGGCAATCCTGCTGGAGGAAGCCATGATGGTGGAGGACGCTAACAAACGCTCCAGTACGAGAGACAAGGAGAAAAAGAAGGTTGGCTCACCTAAGAGGAGGGGGCGGTCCCCTGAAAGACGGAGTTATAAACCCCGGTACACACACCGCGACAACAGGAAAGAGGTTTTCACCGCCAGCCGAGAGGAAAGTAGAGACCGCAGAGATGAAGGAAATGCGCACCAGACGCACAGGAGGGAGGAAGACCGGAAATGGTGTGACTGGCACCAGATGCCCACACATGACACCACGGAGTGTCGGGAGTTTAAAGCGAGCTTGAAGTATTTAGCGCCCGGCGACCTCAAGAACCGTTTGGACACTAGACCGCATCGTCACGAGCAGAAGCACCAAAAGGAAAGGTCGCCAAGTCCGAGGAAGAGATCCCGAACGCCCAAAAGAGGAAGATCGAGATCGCTAAGGAGGAATCGCTCCCCAAGACATAATCGTTCCCCAAGACGGGACCGCGACCGCCTCCCACCACCGCCGAGAAGGTCGCCTCCCCGTCGACAACCGCGTGTGAACGAAGATGACATCGAAGTCATAACCATTGCAGGAGGACGCAAGAGGCCCAGGAGCGAAGGGGAGCGCCTAGTCCAGTGCCTGAATGTCAATAGAAGCGAGCAAGTAGACATCAACTTTTCGCCCTCTGAACTGGCCCAGGGCGAGAGCGCCGAAGATCCGCTAGTTATCTCCTTGAGGACGAGGAAGTTCAAAGTAACCAGGGCGCTGGTGGACAATGGTAGCTCAGCAGATATACTGTTCTACTCTACCCTCAAGAGCATGAAGATGAGCGTCCAAGACCTCAAGCCTTCCGCTACGAGCTTAGTGGGATTTTCTGGCTCAAAGATCAGAGTAATGGGCGTAGTCACGCTGCAGGTGACAATCGGGGAGGCGGATGTAACGAAGACGCGCACGATGGACTTTCATGTGGCTGATTGTCCATCAGCGTACAATGCTATCCTAGGACGCGGTTTCCTCTCGTTATTTTCAGCGGTCCCCTCCACTTGCCACCAATTGCTAAAGTTCCCCGTGGGCGGAAGAGTGGGGCAAGTCAAGGGAAACACCGAGCAAGCCAAGGAATGCTACCAGGCAACAATAGAAAGCCTGGAGGTGGACTTGGTGGATACGAGAGGAGGACACCCGCGTCCAGAGGCAGTAGAAGGAGACGCGGAAGTCGTCCTTGACAGTGAAGAACCGGAGAAGAAGGTGAGAATCTCCTCTCACCTCACAGAGGAGAAGGCAAGAGAGCTCCTGGCGCTCCTCAAGGAATACAAAGATCTATTCGCATGGACCTCCGAAGACATGCCAGGCGTATCAAGAGAGCTTGCTGAGCATCATTTGGCGGTCAAGAATAAAGCAAAGCCCATTCAGCAACGAAGAAGGAACGCCTCCTTGGAAAAGCAGATGGCATTGGAAGAAGAAGTAAGGCGGTTGCTCAAGGCCGGCTTCATAAGGGAGGTTAAATACCCAACTTGGCTGTCAAACCCTGTCTTCGTCAGGAAGGCTTCAGGACTTTGGCGGATGTGCATAGACTTCACAAACTTGAACGCGGCCTGCCCCAAGGACGCATACCCTCTCCCCAGAATCGATCAACTCATAGATGCAACAGCCAACCATGAAAGTTTGAGTTTCCTCGACATGTTTTCAGGTTATCATCAAATTCGTCTATCAGAAGAAGACCAGGAGAAGACCGCATTCATGACTCACATGGGAAACTTCTGCTACACGGTCATGCCTTTCGGCCTCAAGAACGCGGGCGCAACATACCAGAGAATGATAGACGCGGTCTTCAAGAGCCAGTTGGGAAGAAACGTGGAGGCGTATGTGGATGATGTGTTGGTCAAAAGCAAAAGGGAAGAGGATCATCTGAAGGATCTGAAAGAAACTTTCGAAAGTTTGAGGAGAGAGCGCCTGCGTTTAAACCCGCTCAAATGCGTGTTTGGCGCCAAGGCGGGAAAATTTCTAGGGTTCATGATTACCCGAAGGGGGATAGAGGCAAATCCAAAGCAGATAGAGGCCATCACAGCCTTAAGACCTCCCCAGACTGTCAAGGAGATTCAAGCGTTCAATGGAAAAATGGCTGCTTTGAGTCGTTTCATTCCACGAGCCGCAGACAAGTGTTCACCGTTCTTTCAAATGCTCAAAAAATCGGCCTCTCGTTCTCAATGGAGCGCAGAGTGCGACAGGGCGTTCTTCCAGCTGACGGAGCAGCTCACATCGCCGCCTGTGTTGAGCGCCCCACAGCCGGGCGAGCCACTATATCTCTATCTGGCGGTCTCGGATCAAGCAGTTAGCTCAGTGCTGGTAAGGAGAGATGGGGATGGCTCAGATCGTCCCATCTATTATGTGAGCAAGGCACTCCTCCCGGCAGAGAAGCGATACATGCCAATTGAGCGAGCGGTCTTAGCGGTTGTCACAGCCGCTAGGAAACTCCGCCCGTATTTCCAAGAGCATCAGATTATCATTCTCTCCAACCTCCCATTAAGGAGAATCCTGAAAGGAATGGACGCCTCGGGGCGAATGACCAAGTGGGCGGTCGAACTCAGTGAGTACGATATTGCATATGCCCCGAGAC